TAACCAACAAAGATTGTTTCTTTTTGTATGTAAACTTTTACATGAGTTATATAGTAGAGGTCTCATACAATATTTGTCCTTTTGTGATTGACTTATTTCACTCAGCATAATGTCTTCCAGTTTTGTTCCTCTTACTCTCCTGTGCCGAGTTCCTTTTGTTTGTGGAATTTTTTTTTTCTTTTCTTTTCTTTTTGTAGGTTTTGTTTTTACAGAGACTTTATGTTTTTCTTCTTTATTTTAATGAGTAGGTTTGTTAACTTTCTTTGTGGTTACCTTGAAATTAACCCATATGTTCCTAGGTTTGAACCAGTATATTATTACTTGGTATCGCCCTGGCTTCTTCTCCATTATGAAGTTCTATACCTACACCATTTATTACCTCTTTTATTGTTCTGATGTTGTTGTCATTTACAGATTAACCTCTCTGGTTCCTGTTGTCAATCTTCTGGTTTTGAATAGTCCTTGGGAGTTCATTGCCTAGGTTGGTATCTGGCTGGTATGATTTTGCATCCCCAGGCTGTGGTCTGATGTTGTTTGTTCTCAAGATGAAGGACTCCCTTTAATAATTCTTGTAAGTTTGGTTTGGTTTCTATGTATTTCCTTAATTTATGTTTATCTGAAAATGTCCTAATTTCACCATCATATTTGAATGAGAGTTTTTCAGGATATATTATTCTTGGTTGGCAATTTTTTTCTTTTAAGGTTTTGTATATGTCATCCCATTGCCTTCTTGCCTGCATGGTTTCTGCTGGGTAATCAGAGCTTAGTCTTATTGTTTCCCCTATGTATGTGACTTTTCATTTTTCTCGAGCTGCTCTCAGGATTCTTTCTTTGTCTTTGGTTTTAGCGAGTGTGATTATGATATGCCTTGGTGATTTTATTTTGGGGCCTATCCTATATGAGGTTCGTTGAGCTTCTTGGATGGTCAGCTTTTCATCTGTCATGATATTAGGGAAGTTTTCTATCAGCAAATCTTCAATGATCCTCTCTGTTTTCCATTTTCTTCCCCATTCTGGAACTCTGATAATTCACAAATTTTTGCTTTTGATGGTATCGCACGTAATTCTCAGGGCTTCTTCATTTTTCTTTGTTCTTTTTTCTGATTCTTCCTCAAACAAAGTGGTATCCAAGTATTCATCTTCAATTTCACTGATCCTGTCTTCCATTGTTTCAAACCTGCTCCTCAGACCTTCTATGACACTATGCATTTCTGAAATCTTGTTGTTTATCTTTTGGATTTCTAATTGTTTTTTATGATTTCTAGTTGTGAGTTTATTTTGACATTTTGTTCCTGTATTATTTTCCTGAATTCTTCCATTGTTTTCTCTGTTTTCCATGAATTTGTCTACCTTTTCCATTAATTTGTCTATTTTTCCCCCATTTTTGTCTGCCTTTTGCTTCAACTCTTGGATAGCTCTGAATATTAGAGGTTTGAATTCTCTGTCAGGTAGTTCCAGTGCCTTTTATTCTACTGGAAAGTCATCTGGTGTTTTATTTTGGACACCTGTGGGAATCATCCTGTTCTGTTTTTTATATGTTTTGATATTGTCTGCTATCTTCAGG